CAGTCTCATGTGGAATAGTGGTCCTGTGGAGATTTTTTTTTTTTTTTAGTTTTTTTTTTTTTTTTTTTGGATCAGGCGTTTGTGCTGGACAGCTACCAGTGGCACTCCAGATCTGCTCCACTCTGCAAGAGGACAGCCAGGAAAGGTAGAGCGAGGAAAGGAAAAAAAAAAAACAGAAAAGAGGGAGAGATGAGAGCGAAAGAAAATACTCTGTTAATTTAACGTCACGTCAACAAGTTTCGGTTCCCGACCCGAGTTTTCGAGGGAAGATTTTTATACCATGAACACAGACAAAAAAATAAAGTTACAACACCAACACACTCTAGCCTCAGGTTTGTAGATCCTTTGATGCAAAACTAAATTAATTTGCCGACATGTTTCTGTAGCTTTCTCTTCTTGCGGGGGGCGTGGCACAGAGACAGATTGTTATTTGCTTGCGTGCGGCTGCTGAGACGTCAAGTGAGACAGTAATGCATGCGTGTGGGGCTGGTGCATGCGTGTTTGTGTGCCTGTGATGCGAGAGAGAGGGGGACAGACAGGACCAGAAACACCTCATCGTTCATTTACACTTACACACACACACTCCTTAAAGTCTAAATGGAGCTCTACATGCTGGAAAGTAGACCAGAAGGGGACGTATATAGACTGATGGAGGCGTGACAGAGGGAGAGTATGCTCTGCAGGTCACCACTATACATGCCTGTAAGAATGTGTGTGTGTGTGTGTGTGTGTATGCATGAGGTTTTGGAAGGAGGGCAGGGGTGGGTTGGGGTTCAACACTTATATATGTGATCACTTACCAAATGAAACAGGAGGGCTGCATTAATCAGAGGGTGAACACACAGTTAGACATGTTGATGCTTCCCTTGTTGGCGTCTTTATACGCGTTTTCTTGCTAAAAACAAATTCACACCTCTTGGGACTTTTCCCACATGTTGCCAAAGCATACCCGCAAAATTTAGTTGCATTATGCGTGGATTTTCTGCAGTAGATCAACACAAAGCGGTGCATATTTGTAAAGTGTGTCTGTCACAAATAAAAAGAAAAAAATTGAAGCCCAACAAAGTTTGTGGTTGCAAGTTGATGAAACGTGACAAAGCTCAGAGGATGGACAGTTTTGTGTGTGTAACTAGAAAGTGTGTATGCAGAACAGTAGAGTTGGAACCAATTTTACTGTTTTAAAAAGCTCATCTTCACTTTAGAGTGCATATAAGTGTGCATCAGTAATATACCTATATGGAATACCTCTGTTTTGTTTTTAGTATGTTGAAAAGGTAAAACTTTTAAAGTGTAAAAAGATAAGAAGCTGTCAAAGATGATAATTTTCCTCCTCAAATCAATGGTTGAAAGCCCTAGTGAAAGCTACTGCCACACACACACAAACACACACACAATCCCTTTTTGATGTTAATTATAATCAGATAGACACACATGGAAGAATCCACTAAACACATAACATCACTTGGAGTTCAAACACTGACAGCAGCATTTATCACAACCATGACAAGATGCTAGCTTAGCCTGCTAACCGTTTATCCAGAAATGTAGCTGGGATGTGTTGGAGGAGCTACAATTACCAATTTAAATTCAATTATTTGAACTAAAAGTGTATCTTAGATTTTTTTCTTCTCAAGTTATAAATATTTTTTTCACCATAGTGGAAGAAATATCAAGAGTAGACAAATGTTTATGTTTGAAGTTATGATTTAAAGCATGAAATTCTGCAACATTTTAATCATAAAACTACATTTTCAAACAACTTCCTTGTTGTGCTGTGTCGAGACCTTCATTTACCTTAGCTAGTTAGAAAAAAGTCCTACAGTTTTTAACCTTTTGAAACACTTTGCTCCGTATGTGGGACGGCACAGTCAGTGAAACACAGAAAATAAGAGTTCAAAAATTTCTATTAATTGAGTTGGATTTTTGTGAAACAAGTAAATTAAAACTTTATTTCCAAGGACTACAGACTTTAAGTTCACTGTGACAGATGTTGGGAATGGAAAAAGTAAAAAAGTCAAACGTATAGAATAAACCAAGTAATGCTTTGAATTCGTCTTGGTCATTTACAGCAGCAAGTGAAGAAAGAGACATCAGGAATATCATAAGGTTTAAAGTAAAACCTAGAATACACATCATGAGCAGCAGCTGTCTGTAAACCAATGAGACTCTTGATGAAGGACAACTTCCCAGTCCACAGAAATTAATAGAGATGTTATCAAAACTACATTACATAGCCTCAAAATGTCAGGACAGTGTTGGTTTAGTGTTTTTAAATACAGGTCAGAGGCCAAAGGTCATTTATAGACACTTACTCCATCTTCCTCCTTGTAAGGATTCAGACGGTTGTATACTGCTTCGATAACACTGCGTCTGCAGGAAGAACACAAACAAGGTTGAATATGTTGAGAGTTTAACAGTTCAGGGAACTCAAAGTTAACATGGAGGGCATGAAAGACAAACAGAAAATACTGGCAACAGTGAAAGAGGATACATGTTGGTAACATAACAGGCAAATATTATTATAACTAATTTTAGGAGCATTAAGGGCAATGTCAATAAAATCCCAGTGAAACGCATAATGCTCTATCAGGGTTTCCCCCAGTGTATTATAAGCCTGGCGGGCCACCAGGCTTTACTTTGCCCAACACCAGGCGAAGTGTTTTATTTTAAATATATTTTTCTTTGTCAAGTAACAGTGACAGTAAAGATAGATTAAGCTAGGTTTGTAGTTGAAGAAACTGAACTGGGCATGAGGGCTGTCCCTGCACCTGCCCGCTGGCCTCACATGATATTATTTCCAAATTATGATGCCGACTTGTGCACCTACAAATTTTTGTAACTTTTAACATTTTTTAACACAAAAACATAGTGTCCCTACCACCTATTATATTAGAGAAAATCAGTGAACAAACGGCATCATGAAGACAAGAGGAACATGTCATAAAAGGTGGCAGCATTTACTTGCTAGCGAGTCCGCCCCCAGGTGGCAGAGGGGGCATCCCGCTGTCGGAGGCCAGGTTCCTCATCACCATCACCAGATCCGGAAAAGCCTCGTCTAGGGGCCGAGACAGCATTTCTAAACAGGACAGCAGAACTGCTGTTACACAACGCTTATTATTGCCAAGACCGTCAGTGGAAAGAAAAAGAGTTGAGGAGAAGGGGTTTATTGGAGGATGGAAACCGTACAAGTTTTTTTTTTTTTTTTTGAAAACAAGTGTCTGAACGAGACACGGTGACAGCAAGAGGCTCGCAGCTGAGCTGAGTGGCGTGAAGCCAGGTTGATGTTCAGCCAGAGCATTCCTCTCAGTCTGTCCTCTCCCCTTCTACTCCCTCTCTTCTTTGTTCTCCACAAATTAGACAATAGCCTGAGCCAAACATGTATACTCTGTCTCACCTGGACCAAAAGTTTCTTATATCAAGTAAAAGTCACCATTTGTGGCGAGCTACGTACAAGCTACGGTATTTTCAAGTGTATCTTGAGCATTAAACTAAACGCCTTTATAATTCATTCTGTGAGGCAGAGAGAGAAAGGAAACAAGCTGATAAGGTCAGGTTTTATAGGAATTATCAGCTAGGAATAACATCTTACAGGAAAGGGCTACACTTTGAGCAAAATGTCTCATGAATCAGGAAGGAATATAAGGAGGGGGGATTAGAAAACAGCATACAGAACAGAGACAGATCAGGGAATTCATCCAAACAACACAGGACAAGACAAGGAGGGAAATGGACAAGAAGAGAAGGGAATAAAGGAGGGAGATGGTTCCTGAAATGGAAAAACAAGCTTTAAAGTATCATTTTTTTAATATGAACAAGATGTAATTCAGTTGGAACATCCATAATATATAAAAACAAATGTTTAAAATAAGATCATCTTCAGAAGAAAACAAAATGCTCCATTATTCCCAAAAGCTGTGGTCTACAAATAAACCATTTTACGGCAAACCTCTGAAAATGGAGAATAAAGTTAAAGCTTTCATCATTCCACGTTCCCATGATGTTTCCACCTTAGATAAACAACTAGAAGAAATTAGCTCTCAGCTTTTACCTTCCACTCGAGCCTCCAGATATTTGTTGACCTCAGCTTCTCTCCTCACAGCTTCCTCGGATACTTTGGGAGCATTGGGCAAACACACTAAGACAATACTCATGTTATCTCGACTTCCCTAGATGGATGACAGGAGGAAGGGAAACAAAACACTGAATTAATATTGAGCACATTAAGAAAAAGCCCGATGACACAGAGCACAAAGCCCTTCAGGTATTTCCAACATCGTTAATTGTTAACTTGAGAGCCAGAGCTGCTTTTAGTTTGAAGAAGAAGCTTTTATTTTGGAGGCCACGTTTTGCGTCTGATCTAGTCCTGTAGCAGTGTTCAGACTTGTCTTCGTTTAGAGAACTTTCTTATTGTAGTACCAAATCGTTTCTTCAGAGAAACGTTCACCGCAGAAGGAAATGGTACAAGTAAAGTTGAAGGGATTTTAAGTACTTTCAGTCAATGGTCCAGAGCAAGAGAGAAGAGGTGAAGAAGTGTGAGCAAGTAGGTACCAGCAAAAATGAAAAGAATGACGAAAAGCCGATTGAGAAGGACAAGATACGCCACCTGTTGTATTTATATCAGAAACCAATTTTAAAGTAAGAAAGGAAGTCATTCTTGAGTTGAAACACGAAGTTACTTTAAAAGTGAAGAAACATCTGCTGCTTTTAAACATCATCTGGCAGGATTCTGGGAACCTGATTGAACAAGATAGAGAATAGACAAGATGTAAAGGGTTTGTAAGTAAGGATTTAAGATCCTATGATGCATCCATGATATATTTCTTGTCAAAGCAAAGAGTCTTGTGAAGCGTTATCAAGTTGCTGTCAGGATGAATTGCTTCTTGCAAAGTAAATGCAACTCCCAACTCCTACCCAGCTCTCTGAAATGACCGACAACATTCAGCTACAAAAATCCTGTAAACTGTGTGGCTGCTTTCTGCTGCAAGAGGGAAAGAAAAGCTACGGGTGCATTTAATAGTTTTCTTAAATAGTGTGGACTGACGATCACAACAGGAGATTAATGAAACCTTTACTGTTTTAGTGAATATACAAAGTGAGAGATTTGCTGTCCTGCCTGACACAAACACAACCTTATAATTGGGCATAAATATGAAAATGTGGACCAGTCAAACTGATTGTAATCTTTAACAGGGTCTCATTGCCAAACCTTTACTGTATGTACACACATTTCCATCCAAAAACATTCTCTAAAGCTCATTTTCTTGTGAGCCCAGTATCATGCATCGGCTTGTATCATAATCAAAACCACATTCATAAACAATGTGGCCGCATATAACCACTAGACTCGCATCTATTTAGTGGATTTCTATTGATGCTCAATAGTTTAAAGACTCACACCCCATCAAGCCCGTGCTGAAAGTGAAACAAAAGTCCACGTACCTTGTGCAGGCAGGTATCCACCACTTCATTACAGACTCTCTCCAGGTCATCACACACCTCCAGTCTAGATTTCACAAATTCACACAATTCCTCATTGGACATGACATCCCAGATGCCGTCACAAGCCAGAATAATGAACTGATCTTGTTCCGGCGCCCGAACCATCACGTACACTTCCGGTTCAGGGCTAACCAGCTGCTCCGTTGGGCCCTTGCCATCCACACACTTGTAATCATAGTCCCCCAAGGCTCTCGAGACCGCCAGGGACCCGTTAACTCTCTGGATCATCACTGAGCCTCCTGCGTTCTGGATGCGCTCCCTCTCGCGCGGGTTGCAAGGCTTGTGGTCGAGCGTGGAGAAGCACACCTGCGAGTTGCGGTACAGGACGGCTCGGGAATCCCCGCAGTTAATAAAGAAAAAGTGCTCTGGCGACAGGAGAATCCCCACCGCCGTTGAGCCGCTGCGGTCCATGCCGTTCCGGAGGTCGGAGAAGCTGCGCATGTGCTCGTCGATCCTCAGGAAACCCGTGCGGATACCGGCTTTCACGGCCTCCACAGCGGGAGGAGGAAGAGCTTGAGAGTCGGAGCCGCAACCGTCTGGTCCGACTTGCGAGCCTTGCTTGCTGCCAGCGCCGAGGCTCGCAGTGATTATGTGTTCGAGAAGGTGCTTTGAGCAGTAGGTGGCAACCCTGGATCCAGCGTGGCCGTCGTACACGGCGAAGAAAGACCAGTCGGTCATGCCGGGAGCCTGAAGTCCCAGCACAGCCGTGTGAGCGTCCTCCATCTCCACCCGCCAGCCCTGCATGGAGCTCAACCCGAAGCGCAGTCCGTTCCCCTCGCCATGCGAGTTGTGTTTCTCTGTTTTGGGTTTGTCCAGAAACGCCCCCATGCCTCGGCCTTAGACAGACGGAGACCTTGCTTCCTGTGGCAGAAACACAAAGAGAAGCAAGGAGCATGAAATGGGATGCCAGACACCACACTCTGTAGAGCAGATGCTATTACTGAATGAAGACGATTCAAACTGGGCATTTTCTGAAATTCATTAAAATATGAATTCAGAAAGAAAGACTGGCATGAAGTTATTTTAAAGGAAAATTTATTCTACACAACATTCAGTCAGGATAATTAAAAAAGGGAAAGAGAGACTTTCAGTAGATAGCAGGAAAACTGAACAGCAACATGAAGCTCAGCATAGTCACCCAAATTCAACTCCAAAGACATTTTTGGAACAAGCTAAATCGGATTTCAAAAATGTCCAGCCGTAAACACAAGCTTCCCCTCAGGAATGTCCTCAAACGGCAAAAAGGGGAATGCAAAGAAATCCCCAGAAAAAGTCTCCATCAAAAAGTTTACAGTTATTATTATTATAGGAATCAGACAACCAAAGGCATCAGACATCCGTCTGGACTTTGCTAGTTTAGAATAGTTTCCCTCAGAATGAAAACAGTACAATTCCCAAAAGCAAACATTTGTCACAGATGTTTATATTTAACTATATTTTTAAAAAAGTTATAAAATTTCCCTTACCCCCCCCCCCCCCTCCCACAAAAAATTAAAATAATATAATCGACCGTTGCTTTCCC